TCCAGGGAGAGGAGGCGGCATCACAGCGGTGAGCTACATCGACCAATCTATACCACATTTCGCACGTCACCGGAACAACAGTTTCCAGCATGATAACGCCCGGGCCCATACTGCCAGAGCTACATGGGACTGCCTACAGCAGAACGGTGTCAACGTTATGCAGTGGCCAGCCCTTAGTCCTGATTTAAACCCAATTGAACATCTTTGGGATGAAATTCAGAGGAGACTGAATAATGTCATACCAAGGCCGAACACAGCCGATTTGTTGCGCCAGGCCTTTCTCAGAGTGTGGGTCCAAGTACCAATGGCCTTCATCAATCGATTGGTGCACTCCATGCATAGACGCTGTGCTGCAGCTATTGCCGCTCGTGGTGGTCACACACTGAAGTCAAAGGTCTGAATGGACTGCAAACGTTCACGTAATGTCTTGAAATTCTTCTGAGTTATTCATTGATGTGTCAAGATATTGTACACAAACATGTTTTTTGATCTGCTTATGTCAAATTCTGTAATGATTTGATTACAGTGCCTATCTAATTTGTATACGTACTGACGTTTGTTTTGCTGCTGAGTATGGTAACATGCCCAAAGGCCCTCCATGATTACCTTATGAAGTAATATGCCGACACCAAAACTCAGCTTCAAGATATTCTATAGCAGTAACCTGGCGTATCTTTGACAACATATATCTGGACCAGCTGTGCCACCCACGGTTTAATACATCACCGTCACAGGGCATTACATCACAGACGAGTGGGATCTAAAATCATGCGTTCTTACCATTAGACGCGTGGACGATCGTCCATGATGCACTTTGTTACAATGTGCAATCTTTTCAAAGAAACTCACATTTGATATTGGTTAAACGAAATGTGCTTTAATAAATGTTCTGATTTTGACAATGGCTTGTTTTCTGAATTTTGTTCTCTGCATTGTGGGTTGAACCTCATTGTTACCCCAGGCTCAAAGCTTTTCAAACCCTCGATTTTTGTGTATTCATAACCACGTGTTGCGACACGTGACGCTATACCTCACATGAACCGGTTTCTGCTGTGGGCTGTTTGCGCCAGTGCTCAGTTGAGTAATGTGGCCCTACATTGACCGATGCTAGTCAAATCATGAGTTTAGGTTTGTGTTTCGTCAAATTGATAACCACGTGTTTTAAGAAAAGATTTCGTGTAAGTTTTCAATTTATTCTTGCGTGAAATTCCATTGAAAACTACCTAAAACAAACACATAGCTCTCACTAACATTTACACTATAAGTTTTGGGTACTCGAGTCCGGGTCGGGTTTTATCCCCCGGGTACTCGAGTCCGATTTTTGCTACCCGTCAGAGCCCTATTCTGGACAAGGCACACTAAATGTCCGTTCCAGTTTCATCAGTTTCAGTCAAGTCGGGCTCACAGTGACTTGTCCTGTGAGGACTGAGGAGAAGTAATGTCAGTGTATAAAATATAGCCGGTCCCACCGTCCTTGACCGTCTAATTTTGTAAAGGACGGTCTATTAAATGAGTAAGGCCGTCCTTTGGTCGGGGAAAATATTTGAAAAAATAAACTTAATTTGGTTTCAGTGAAGAATTTTAGTTTATGAGGCTGGCTGGTCACTTTTCTGGACAACCAGCCCTTGGACAGGCCACATTTCAGAACTATTTTGTCCACTGGTAATGTCATAGTTAGAGACCGCCTCCGTGGTGTAGTGGTTAGAGCGTCCGCCCGGAGAGCGGAAGGTCGCGGGTTCGATCCCCGACCGCGTCATACCAAAAGACGTTAAAATATGGTACTTGTTGGTCCCTGCCTAGCGCTCGGCATTAATGGGTACATCAAGGACTGGTCGGCTCGGAGTCAGTATAATGTGTCTGAGTGGGGTATTCATGCTTCACTGCGGCATGGTATCTCAGTGGGCTAGCACTATAAAACCAGCATCAGTCTGGGCTAGTACAAGCAGCCGCACCTACACATACACACGCATGCACGTCGTCATATGAGCGAAATATTCTCAAGAACGCGTTAAACCCAATTTCAACTCACCTCACCTAGTCAGACTTCCAGACACGACTTGACCAAATTCTTCTCTCTTTGTAACCCAGCGTTACTCGTGGTCTGCCTAGTTCCAGTGCCTCACATCTTACACCGGCTATTAGGGGCGGTGGTGTAGCCTAGTGGTTAAAGCGTTCGCTCGTCACGCCGAAGACCCGGGTTCGATTCCCCACATGGGTACAATGTGTGAAGCCCATTTCTGGTGTCCCCCGCCGTGATATTGCTGGAATATTGCTAAAAGCGGCGTAAAACCACACTCACTCACTACACCGGCTATTCAACAGATTACATATATTATTCACAGACGGTTTTCATAGACGGTAGCAAACTGACAGACAGACATCTTAACACGTGTATGTGTGTGTGTGCATGCGTACGTGCGCGTGCGTGCATGTTCGTGTATGTGCTAGTCCGGGATTAATGCCTGTTTAAAAGATTCAGCCGACCTTGATTCCATGCCGCGATTTAATATGGATGCCACACTGTTGAACTGTATACACTATATACTGACCGAGTCGGCCAGTCCTCGTTTTGTCCCCTTAAAGCAGGCGCCAGGCAGGGCCACAGCGTCTCTAACTACGACAGAGCCGGGGATCGAACATTCCGCTGTGCGGGCAGACTCCAGACAGACTCACTATCCAGACAGACCCACCGTCCAGACAGACTCCCTATCCTGACAGACTCCCTATCCTGACAGACCCACTATCCAGACAGACTCCCTATCCAGACAAACCCGCCGTCCAGACAGACTCCCCTATCCAGACAGACCCACCGTCCAGACAGACTCCCTATCCTGTAAACGACGGAGGCCGTCAGACATGTAAGCCGATATTTGATTAGATAACTCAGATTATGTTAAACCGGTTTATAGTGTTGGGTCGACATGGCGCTCCTCGACGGTGATCTCGATTCCACCATCTCTGTTACAGTAATCCACACCACCCTGTCCCACTCCAATTTTCATTGGATTTGCTATAAAAGAATAATTATCCTGTATAATGTAAATGTTACTATAGGCGCCTCAGGGGCGATGGGGTAGCCTCGTGGTTAAAACGTTCGCCCGTCGTGCCGAACATCCGGGTTCGATTCCTCACATGGGTACAATGTGTGAAGCCCATTTCTGGTGTCTCCCGCCATAATATTGCTGAAATTTTACTAAACTAGAACTAAACTCACTCACTCTACCACTAATCCCACCCTCGGGTTTCCAGGTTATGTTGTCTTCATTATACTACAAATATCTCTCCCAGCTCAGAAACAGCCGTCCAATCAAATCGCTTTCACGAGCGAGCGAGATTCTGTGCTAAGCCAGAGATGCAATTCATTCATTAATATCTTACCTATTGAATTTTGTATGATTTTCTGTCCGGCCTTCCGAAAGTCCGAAAGTGGGTGAGGCGAGGATAAAGGGATAGATCACAGCAAATAGGAATCCACATAATCCGAGAACAATTTGAGTGATTGTTGTTACATGCATATTTCAAAATGTGTTAAACTGAAATCCGCTTATGATTATACCATTTGTCAGTATACTTATTTATTGACATTATGGGAGAATATTGGATTTTGCTTGTACTTAGCAATGTTCTAGCTATACGACGGCAGTCTGTAAGTAACAGTTACCAGACCAGACAGTCCAGTGATTGACTTCATGAGCATCGATCTACACAATTATGATACCAGGACATCCATTAACCGAGTCAGCTGGCCTGACCACCCGATCTCTGACTGGAGAATCAAGGACAGTGTCTCACAGCTAATGGTCACGACTTACTGTTTCCACCCGTCAGATTTTGCAGTAGAGCAGATAGCCGCATGGAACGTGCCTACTTAAGTGTATGCTAGTGTATGGAATGGTTGATTGTGTATCGTACACCCGACTCTAACTACTGCTTCTGTCATCACTGGGTGGGCCAACCCCGAGTATAATATTTCCAGTCCAGTATGACACACATTTATCACGCGAGAACGAAGATACACACTGTGCAATATACATCTCTAGATTTCAAATGGATCGTAACGCGCACGTTTCGACGAACGCACGCACGCGCACACATACTATCAACACTGTGCCATGATAAAGTGTGGATGCTGCACAAAGATCTTTGGACATCCCATCACTGGTCACTACAGAACAACCTCGTAAAGGTAAGGACGATGTTTTGATCGAAGCACCGCTTATCTCTCCCTCCAGGAGGATAGCCACAGCTGTAGGGACTTTCCACAGCCATGGGGAGTACTGCCATACAATCTCGGTCATCTGTTAGACATTCCAGAATTTTGGCTAATGCATTCTACCTTTTCGTAGTTCATTGAAATGAATGAGCGAGTGAGTGAGAAAGTATTGCTTAACGCTGCTTCAGCAGTTTTGCAGCTATTGATGCACACAAACACGCACACGGTGCTTAGCCGTGTTAAGAAATGTAGTAGTCAAGGCCGTTACGGCCAGCCGTGGCTAAGAGTCAGTTACTAAAGGAACATAAAACATACGTTTCATCATGAATAAGTTTATAAGCCGTGATTGTGTGTTTGTGTGGATCAGAAGTTTCCCTTTTTTCCCAATGTCAAAGAGATAGTGTCAAAGCATATTTATCCAAATTTACGTTCAAGTTTTCTTCTGAACTCAGATTGAATTACCAAAAATAGATGTCGACAGGTGGATGTATTTTAGCTGCATGATAAGCCCAGTGACATGCTACGGGCAGATGTTTACCCTGACACTTATCTCGCCCAAAATACACCATTTAGGTGACCCTACTACCTGTAACAAAATCAGAAAGCAATCCCAGTTTTTGATAGCTATTTAAAGGACCGTCCCAACTCGAGGAACACGTCAACCACAGTGGCACTGAAAAACATTGTCATTCGGGGATCCATGGTTTTGAGGCTCATTCCAAATTAGAACCTTGGACCACTATAAAGAAATAATCAGACCAACTTTCGTCTCACTGTCATATCTCTCGGAAGATCACGAGTCATGTACAAATTTGCCGTCCTTTTTATTTGTTTGGGCCTTACCAGGGCCTTCGTCTTTGACAGTGAGTATTGACAATTCTTGGAAACCTATCATCGTTATGCAACTGCATGAAGAATATTATGGTCAAAGTATATGTTAGGCTATCAACCAAAATGCGTCAAATATGTTTCATTTAGACGTTTTTAATTAATGTAAGTTGCTATTCAAAATAATACAATATTTCTTTTAAAAATTATTATTATTTTTATATGTATGGCATTTCCACATAATTGAACGGTCCATGGAACACATTCTTTCACTAATAGGGATTAAAGTCAATTGGCTTCAATCAGCACAGTGATCTGAATATTGTCAGAAAATGTCAGAGCCAAAATATGTCTCGATTATCTTTTGCAATAAAGTCCATTTAAAAGGCAAAATTGTATGAATAAATGACCTAAAGTGAGAGATGACACCAGGTGTTTGCGAAGGGGGCAAGTATGTTCTATCTTTCCGGTAACATCTGCCATTCACACAATTTGCATAAGAACGTAAGATTTCATAAGTCTACGTTATGTTGAGGCGGTGGGGTTAAAGCCTTGTGGTTAAAGCGTTCGCTCGTGACGCCGAAAACAAGGGTTCGATTCCCCACATGGGTACAATGTGAAGCCTATTTCTGGTGTTCCCCGCCGTGATATTGCTGGAATATTGCTAAAAGCGGCGTAAAACTCAACTCACTCACTCTTCGCTATGTGAAACGAGGTCAACCAAGGTAGGGCTTGAATAGAGCAATATCTGTGGATTGCCTATGTGCTCTCTGTGTTATCTTCCCTGTTGGTGACAATAAGTAACACTGAGTACTTTACTAATCCAATGTCGCCCGAGTACTTATAAGTCATCTCATCACCGTTAGACAAGGTAAATCTATGTTAAGGTGTTCTCAAAATCATATTTAAGTTCTGTGGTCCATTTCAGGCCTGGCCCGAGACCTTGGAATTAGTGTCTGAAATTGAGTTATTGCTTTTAGGCATCCATCCCCTATTACATTGATGTTTGTTATTCACTGAGAGGTAATGGACAGACAGGGCAGTGTTTGTACGACGTGAGTCTAACTATAGCTGCTCGAACAGAGCGGTAACCGTGATGCAAAATCTTGTTTGATCTATCATGATATTAAATCTTTGAAGGGCATTTAGAAGTGGAATACATAAGAAAGGCAAGATTTATGGATGTCGTCGTTGACATCCATAAATCCTACTTTTCTTATATCATGATATTTCTCACTGGTATACTCATGAACATACGGATGCATCTGTGATCTCAGGATCTGAAATGGTCTCCCCATATTGACATTCCATGCAATTCAGTTTCTAAAATACTATTTGAAACTGAATATATATGCACTTGCACAAATCAACATCATCTGAACTTTATCATATTTTGATGACTTATTCTCGAATACACTTCTGAAATCTAATGTAACCGCACTGTGTTGTCCAACTCTGACGGTTAAAGGTTAAACTCTAAGTTGAAACATTCTGACATACATTCGGTGCATGCTGCACCCATTGGTTCCATCTTTGTATAATAGGTCGGTCTTGTGCATGTTTAATATAGCCACGAGCCCTGAACATTGCTGCTTATCTGTGAAACTGCTCATGGAAGGGGCCTGGTTAGTTGGACTAATTGCCAATCTGTCTGACCTCTCTGTGTCAATGACACATGTTCAAGCAATAGATAATACGCATACACCTGTTGAAACCTCACCCTACACATATCGTTATCTAAGAGGTCGAGAACCTGTCGATTTACCATTGTTTTTGTGGGAAATAAAAAACAATAGTTTGTGAGGCATAGCGTCGATTTTAGAGAAAACTTTGAATCCACAAGAGATTGACGGATCCATGTCTTGATGGTTCCACGTGTAGGGGACTTTGGTGATCCTAACGTATTCGAGGTATTTAAGTAGGTAAATGTTGTAAGACTGTAGAAATGTGGCCACTTAATAAAAAACAAAATATACTCTGTATCATTACTGGAGGGTCACCTATATGCTGGCTGTCAGATATGAACATGCACCATCAAGGTCTGAGTATGTTGTCAATGTTATTAGCAGTTCAAGAACATGCACAGAGGTATCTTAGCGCTACGACAATCGGAACTCCCATAATTTAGCCACACCTTACGATCGTCGCAGTGCTAAGGTCGCAATCTGCAAGTGGGTCCATGTTGTCTATAACCGTGTCACTCGGATGTGATGCATTTCAAAAACTGGAATATGCGACAACCATTTTTTTAAACAATGAAAAATTAAAGATTTAAAGATTATAGGTAATTGAAAAAGCTACTCAAAACACATGTCCGAAGGCACCTGGGCCTAGATTTTCGAAGCTCTCTTAGCGCTAAGATAGTCGTAAGTGCCATACATTAACATTAACATACGTCTATCTTAGCGCTAAGAGAGCTTCGAAAATCTAGGCCCTGGTGGATTAGCCCACACACGTGCAATAAATCACAAGCAACAATCAGTGAGGATGTAAAAAGATTCATTCCAATAAAAAGTGAAAATCATAGTCGCAAATGAAAATACTATATTTTGTGAATACATGTACTATTATTTGTTATTATTTACTTGACACCGTAGTAATTTCGCTGAGTGTAGATATAAATACTCCCTCATATTGTAACTCGTTTACCGATTCTCCTGTCTGTTCAAGACGCCGGGTGTTCGGACCGTGAGTTCAAGTGCCGTGACGGCCAATGCGTGGACAAAGAGTACACGTGCGACACCGAGGACGACTGCCCTGACGGATCCGATGAGATTAACTGTGGTACGTATTTGTAATGTAGATCTATGCGGACCTGTTGCACAGCACGTTGCTTTTCCATGGTCCCTCAATCTGAATGTTTGTAAATAAATCAATTTTCTGTACATTTAACGGACAGCTTGGTAACCAAGTGATTAAAACGGTCGATGTTCATGTCGAAGACCCGGATTGGATACTTCACATGGTTACATGGTGTGAAGCCTATTTCTTCAACCCCACCTCGCGATATTATTTGAAAATTGATAAAATCAGCAGAAAAACACACTATCTTAACTTTAAAAAAAATCTTAATAGAAATATTTTATAATTTGTTTACAGCACCTACCTCTCCTTAAAACAACGATCGTAGTCACTTTTCCTTACTTGCTTGATATCGCTACTTAAGACAAACAGCTCTCGTTGATAATGTGCATTGATTCAAATGTTCTCTGATAAAGTAATATTGGCAGTTGGTATAATTAACATTGTTTCAGTGTGATTGTGGGAATCAAACCGGTTACATTATCTATTTTCAAAGTCTCTAATAAACTCTAATGTCTATAATGAGTGAGTGAGTTTAGTTTTACACCCCTTTAGCAATATACCAGCAACATCACGGCGGGGACACCAGAAATATGCTTTGCATTTTGTACTCAGGGGGTAAATCGAACCCAGGTCTTCGGAGTGACGAGCGCACGCTTTATCCACTAGGCTAACCCACCGCCCCTATTCACACCATTCTCTTCCCACAGAGGTTACTCAAGTCATATCTTCCCACGTACGAGTCACGTAGAAGAATATGACCTGGGTAACCTCTGTGGGAAGAGAATGTATTCACACATGAACAGCAGGGTGGAAATAACTCATTGCCCGACGTCCGAGTCCAGTGTTTTTTTCTGTTGGGCAAGCGAATTTGTATATCACACTGTACCGGTGTCCAGTTGCCTTTCCAATGTTAATTATGTTGTTTATATAAAAAATCAGCAAGAAAACAGTCGGTATAGTGGAAAAAATATTAGGGCAAGTGACTTTACATGTGCCACTGTACCGGAGTACACTATCAATTTTAAAGTTATTTCCACCCCTGAACAGTCAAACATTTTTATCAACACAGTATTGTGAATATTGATTATTTTTTCCTGCCCGTATGTGTCATTAAGTGAATAGAATCCCGCTCCTGTTAATCGCTTGAGTATATACAATAGTTCGATATTAATCTTAAACATAGTTCATCCTCGACGACTTTTGTAGCCACCGACTGTTCCGGAAGCCATCAGTTCAAGTGCAAATCAGGGACATGTATCACACACGAGTACTTCTGTGACGGCGATGATGACTGTGGCGACGGCTCCGACGAGGTAGACTGCGGTAAGAACATGTCACATTTGTGACATTATAAGTTGTAGCCATCGCTAGATTTTGCTGACAAGAAAAACAGATTTAGAGTTATCTCCCTTCCATCGATTTGCATTCGCAAAACATCGGTAATTTCCGTACATCATACGTGATTCAATGTTATTCGAGATAAAGAATTACTACCACGAAGTACCAAATGAGTTGCCATTGACAGCGGGGTGCATTGAAATGTTACTCGCTTGTAAGCGGGGTACATTGAAAATAATAGAAGAGCGCTCAGCCAATCAGAAAGCGACATTAATGTGTGCGTAAGATAATTGTAACTTGTACGGATGGAAACAAAGGAATAATATTACTGCAAGAAAACCAATGTGTATTTAGATATGTGGTTCAATTTCAACAAATACCTTCCAAAGGTCCTCTCCATCTTTTCAGGTATTCATCTTCTAGAGAGCCCGGTTAAAACGATTTGGACTGATAATAATTATGAAAGTTGCAAATTATCTTTGCAGATTCAGACCTCGTTTTTACATTTAGAACTTGTGCTGGTCCAAAATGAAACTGCAAACTGCAACCTCATATTTATACCAACTTGCACCCAATGCATGTTGATATTTTACTGTTCAAAGATGACCGCCTCCGTGGTGTTGTGGTTAGAGCGTCCGCTGGAGAGCGGAAGGTCGCGGGTTCGTTCCCCGACCGCGTCATACCAAAAGACGTTAAAATATGGTACTTGTTGGTCCCTGCCTGGCCTCGGCATTAATGGGTACATCAAGGACTGGTCGGCTCGGAGTCAGTATCATGTGTCTGAGTGGGGTATTCATGCTTCACTGCGGCATGGTATCTCAGTGGGCTAGCACTATAGAACCAGCCTAAGTCTGGGCTAGTACAAGCAGCCGCACATACACATACACACGCATGCACGTCGTCATATGAGCGAAATATTCTGAAGCACGACGTTAAACCCAATTTCACCTCACCTCACCTCACCTCCCTGTTCAAAGAACACAGACTTCATCTTGAAAACAGAAGGATGAGGCCAGGAACAGTGATTGAATTATTGCTACTGCTCATGGCTGAACTTTTATGAAGTGAGATAAATCGCTCTTGATGTTGTAAATTATCAACACCAGAACTGAGGCATTATGCACAACTGTATATAGAGCAGCAGGTGCAACCTGTTTTTGTCTAGTGCAACAACCTAGGTTGTTAGGTTATAACCTGAGGTTGCACCGGGTGCAAGTACATGTAGGTTCTATTTCTTTAAATGGAGCCATTAGATTCTTTTGAGTTATTTCAAAGATACCCCCAATTGATGGTTTGCCGTCTGTGCTGAATAAAACACGCTCACCATCTGGCAAATCTTTGCAAATACTGACCCGAAGTTGCTCCTTCACCTTACGCATTGAGTCATTGGGTATTAATCAAATGGTAGATCTACGGATAATCGTCCAGACAAAAAATATGATTGAAGCATTTGGCATTCCTGTCAAAAAAGGACTGAAATTGTGAATGTGCAATTTTAAGTCGTTCTCTTCTACTCGTCAGATATTCATGTCTCAAGATATGTTGATTTGAACAGGTGACGTTATCAGCGTTTCCTTGGCAACCACACGGATGTTGGGAAAGTCTGAGGATTTATGTCTGTGCTTGTGACAGGTCTGTCGGAAGACGCCCCGTGAAGATCCGGGTTAGAATTGATCTTCAGCAACCCATGCTTGTCGTAAGAGACGACTTACGGGATCGGGTGGTCAGGTGTGCTGACGCGGTTGACACATGTCATCGTATCCCAACTATGCTGATGCTGTTGATCACTGGATTGTCTGGTCCGGACTTGGTTATTTATAGACCGCCGCCATTATAGCTGTAATATTGCTGAGTGTGGAACAACAAAACAACCAACCAACCATCCAACTGCCGGAAGACGCAGGGCGTTTTGCCCCATGTACGTTATGTCGTGAAGATGGAACTAGTTCCGTCTATTTTCTGATGTAAAGGTTAGATTTGATAAGTTCTTGATCTAACAGGTAAAAAGAAGTGCGACCAGTACGAGTTCCACTGTGTGACAGACGGCATCTGCGTCGAGGACACGTATTACTGCGATGGCGACAAGGACTGCACCGACGGCTCAGATGAGGCCAACTGCAGTAAGTATACAACGAGTATAAGGCCTCATGATCTGTGTTCCGCCCCAGAAAGCGATCATAGCTCTACAATGTTTAAAGTATGGGTGTTACGAACACCCAAGCCGTAAAATCGCTTTATCAAACAGAGTACTGTACCCTGGTACCTGCAACACATTACTCCGAGGTGCTGTTTACATTTGTCTGAAGCTTCAATACATCTCTTTAATAAACATATATTTTCTGAAATAACCTGTTTTCAAAAACTGTTTCTAAGCTGTTCGTAAATGAAGTTAGTGGCGGCTTCTATGTGCCGTGGTTTTCAATCTTTTGGCTGTTTCTTTTTTAGAAAAGGGTTATATAGTTATACTAAGGAATTCCGTCCCTCCGTCCGTCCATCTGTCAGAAGATATTTTGTAAAACCAATAACTTAAAAAAAATGGCTGGATTTTGTGGGGTCCATCTTCTTTGTCTAAAAGAGGGATGCAGTGTAAAGCTTGTTTCCGATTTTCTAATTTTTGAAAAAGTTGCGTGAATTTAATATTTTGAATTTTTGTTCAACCAGTAACTTGAACACATTTGAATGTGCTGTTTTTAAATTTGGGGATTACCCTTCGTTAGTTATCTGGCGGAGAGATTCGGGGCAAAATTATATTTTGATATTTTTTATTCATCGTTAATCAATACCACTAGTGACATTTCTTGAACTCGGGAAAAAAACACATCAAATTTGTTGAATAACTTAGCAATAACAATCATTTAATGGATTGTTTCCAGAATTGGGTAATGGCTTCTCTGTTTATAGAAAGGGTGCATGGCCATGTTTGATACAGATCTTGTATTACTGAATAATCATTATTAATTGTTGAAACCCTGAAGTTGGGAGTCATGGTTGGGGGTAGAATAGCGCCTAGCTCACATGTTTTGGCTTGTTACTTTTCGGACTGGGATCCTTTTCATGAAATATTATGTAGGTATTCGGTAAACAAGTCAGACATATTCTTTAAGACAAACAATGGAATTTATGATTTGAAGCAAACTGAAAATTCAGGATGGCCCTATCGAATATATAGCGCATATTTCTGCATGGTGGATCGGGCGTTCTCCAGTAGTGACATACAGACCTGCAGAATGAATGAATGAATGAATGAATGGATGCACTAACTGACCTACACACTCTTGATTTCAGCTTCATGCATGGACGACCAGTTCCGGTGTACTTCCGGTCTGTGTATTGACGCGCAGTGGAAGTGTGACGGCGACGACGACTGCAGCGACAGCTCAGATGAACATAACTGCGGTAGGTCTTCTTTGTTAAGACTACAGGTTTTGAAACAGCCCTGTAACAAACGGCATTTCCTACTTTTACACGTGACGTATGCTAATGTTACGTGCTAGTTTAAGCAAAATTGAGTACAAATTCAACTCGTTTACGTAAAATCTATTTTTGTCTGGTCTGATTGCGTGGTTTGAAATCACCCTAGCAGTTAACATTCAAAAGTGTCACAAAGGGCCCCTTTACAGCATCGGATCATGACTGAAAATATGCGTACACCAAAGAACGAAGTTCTCCTTTAAATGGAAGCACTTCGATCCAGAAAATCGTGTCAACATGATTCTCGCGTTGAATCGGCCTGTGGAGATCCGGGTTAGAATTGGTCATCGGCAACCCATGCTTGTCGTGAGAGACGACTAAAGGGATCGGGTGGTCAGGCTCGTAGACTTGGTTGACACATGTCATCGTATCCCAGGTGCGAGATCGATGCTCATGATGTTGATCACTGGATTGTCTGGTCCAGACGCAGTAATTTACAGACCGCCTCCATATAGCTGGAATATTGTTGAGTATACAACAGACAAACAGCAGACCTGCGTTTAGGCCCCTGATGGTTGTCGTCTTCAATGTGTTCCAGGTTCCTGCAGTACCTCCCAATTCACGTGCGCCAACGGCAGATGTATTCAGAAGAGCTGGGTGTGCGACGGCGACAATGACTGTGACGACTTCTCCGACGAGAGGGGCAGTTGTGGTAAGAGTACTTCTATGGACGTTCGGTTTACGTTAACTTTGAACAGGAACATTTGAGTTTGATAGCTATATCGATATGGTTATGTGATCATCTTCCATCTGGTTTAAAAGACGTTTGCCGTCACATTTTTTACAAAATCTCGATATCGTATAATATGTCAGATGGCATTTGCAAATTAATTCGATCAGAGGCACCCAGAAAGACCGTATTGTTGCTGAAAGTTACCCTTAATAAATATCATAAATCCGGAATGATAGTGGAGTGAGCTTATCGTCGCATCGTCATTATTCCAACCATATAGCGACGAGGCAAAGTTTACAAATATCCATTTATAACACAAAGTCACACTCAAAAGCGGAAGTCAGCATTTGAAGATGCCTAGATTTAGTACCGTTTGTTGCGGAGGATGTGGCATCGAGGCAAGATTTGTGGTACTGTTTCCGAAATGTGAACAGCAACATTTCGTGATGATTTCTTGTGAAAACGCTGTGTGTAAATTACGGTTGTCTGTTCTTATTCTAATGGTGACTGGGGCAGTGGGGGTAGCCTAATGGTTCAGCGTCCGCTTGTCACGCTGAAGATCTGGGTTCGATTCCCCATATGGGTACAACGTGTGAAGCCCAATTCTGGTGTCCCCAGTCGTGATATTGCTGCAATATTGCTAAAAGCGGCGTAAAACCATACTCACTCACTCACTCACTTTAATGGTGACTGTCCATTGTTTCAAGCTGTTGCAAGTGTCAGAGCTGACTGGTGGAGGTTATTTATACTTCTCCACTCTATGGTCGTACAACTAACAGAAATTCTTTGGCGAACACACTGACTTCCCTGTTCCTTTCCCAAACCTAAAGGGGAATTTGTAAATTCAGCTGATGGTTAAGTAACGGAGTCATGGTGCAGTATTGGTTCGAGATTCAAAGCGTGGCGTTATTTGACCTATTCGTTTTCATACGTCGGTTTTGCGCACACTATGCATTTGAATTACAATCGGTTCGGAGGATTCTAAAAAACCCGCTAAGCGTCATAACTGTCATAATTTCATATACATACGCAGGAACATATTTTAATGTGTATGCAAAGAAAAAAAACTATTCCCATATTTGGGCACGCACCTGTATTCTTTTAACAAAATGTTCCCAGAGAACGAAAAGGTTATTAATATAGTATTACATACATATTAAACGACGGTAATAAATTATATACAACATTCATACTCGTATAAGAGGGGCGGCGGGTTAGCCTAGTGGTTAAAACCTTCGTTTGTCACGCCGAAGACCCGGGTTCGATTCCCCACATGGGTACAATGTGTGAAGCTCATTTCTGGTGTCCCCCGCTGTGATATTACTGGAATGTTGCTAAAAACGGCATAAAACCATACTCACTCATACTCGTAAGATGTGTAATGACTAATGTCTATGGTATTTGACCGAAGCCATACAGAGTGCAGTATAGCTGATATCAAATGAGAATGAGAGTTGTCTATTTATCGTTACAGGAACCGTTGGTCCAAACGAATGTCGGGACGTGCTGATTGGCCGTGACTGTGCCCTGATGAACGAGACTCACAACCCCATCTGTCTGGACGAGGAAGAAGGCTTCCACTACTGCAGGAAGTACTGCAACCTGTGTGCAGCTGGACAGACTGTTGGTTAAATAAACACATTGACACAACGCTACTGCTTAATTTGATCCTCAAGGCTGACCATGGCTGCTTAATGGTGGAGGAAAGTCCCAAGTGTCCACGATGTTTGCGTGTTTGTCCAAACCACGGACTAACAAAGCAAGAAAATCATTATTTTGGGCGAAACTGGGATTCGAAATTCACGATCACAGGATTTTGAGAAGACTGAGGGCACCACCTCTCTTCAACACAGAACCTGATGTGTTCAAAACAAAAAACAGCTGCCAAGGACTCAGCAAATACACCAGAATTGATGCGATGATTTATGAAGCCTTTCATATGTCCATATCCATACCTTAAGCAGAATACAGTAAAAAAACAATAAATATGAAATAATTCTATAAACTTAAACTATTTTACAGTGATCGATGAAGTCAAATATACGGGATGTTCTTAAAATCAAATAGAAATATGCTGTTAAGGTAAAGGTTAAATATACCAAAATAGAACAGGGGTTTCGGTGTAGATGCTAACACCGTTATCAAGCATCGAAATGCCACTGAAAGAAGTTATACCAAAACAGGTTTTTACCTGTACGGGCAGATTCCCACAATAATGTGGTTAATCAAACACTATTTTTAATTGTTCAAAATTCAACACCAAAACGTTCATTGCAAGCATAGAACAAAAGTACTAGTTATATTTGGAATTCCCCAGCATGCTTGGCTCACCGCCTGTGTGTACAGGTATGCCGTTGGTCGGTGTACTAGCCATGTCAGCAGACTATGCGTTTTTTCTGACGTTCAACCTTTAAGAGTAAAAACTGAAGGAGCGTCACACTTACATGAATATTGTGGCTACGTATTGGAAGTCTGACCAATGGTTGTTGGCCAAAGATTACTAACATCTTGTAGTTGTCTTGTACTTCCTGCATAGTGCGCCACACAACTCAGTTGTCCATACACCGGGCCGCCGGATGTCCCAGGATTGAAACCGTTGATAAATAAAAGCGACAAGACACTTTCCACATCCGTAAGAAATCTCTGCTAAAAGAAGAGTCGATGGTGCAATTACGATTACATCATGAGCCTGTTATTGTAATATCTAATAATAACGATAGCAGGTGTTCCCGAAATGAACGTATCCTGTCCCACCGTTGGGACACGTCGTAAACAAACGCAAAGGCTAGTCAATTGCTCACCTGAAAAAACCTTGGGACATGGTACAAGTCAAGATGGGGAATTGCATCAGACATAACTTTTGTCATCGTATGATCCGTCAAAAGTTAAAATGTCCTTCGCAGATATACCATACATCTTTTTGAATGCCTTGAATGTTGTAACCTTGATCGAACAGGTGAGGTGAGATGAAATTGGGTTTTACGTCGTACTTGAGAATATTTCGCTCATATGACGACGTGCATGCGTGTGTATGTGTATGTGCGGCTGCTTGTACTAGCCCAGACTTAAGCTGGTTTTATAGTGCTAGCTATAGCCCACTGAGATACCATGCCGCAGTGAAGCATAAATACCCCACTCAGACACATTATACTGACTCCGAGCCAACCAGTCCTTGTTGTACCCATTAATGCCGAGCGCCAGGCAGCGACCAACAAGTATCATATTTTAACGTCTTTTGGTATGACGCGGTCGGGGATCGAACCAGCGACCTTCCGCTCTCCGGGCGGACGCTCTAACCACTACACCACGGAGGCGGTCTGATCGAATAGCTCAAGTCAAGCGGCGCTCTCTTAAACCTTGATAGAAGAGCTAACATTACTTGCAGGTTCTTTCAGTGTTGTCACAACCCCTAGTGTGCAGTAAACAACCCTGTGCACTTGAAAGAACCCACTCATCCAATGGTAGGTGACCAGATGGGGGGACACACGAACACGTGCAGACACCTAGTTGCAGGCATAGTAACGTGCATATTCATTGGACAAATTACTGTGACAATGTGTCCCAGTTCACCCAGCCGCAAATGGGTAGGATGAGGCTGTGTGATAACTCGCTGCGCCTAACATAATTTGAATACTCCCCAGGATGTTGACTTGGTTAAAAAAAGAATGAAAAAAAGGACATCTGTTGATCATGGGCACACCCCAGCGCCTTCAGCTTGTACTAGTTGCGTGGATATGTGCGTTATATAAATACATTTTAATACATGTCCGACTGTGCATCAAAAGCTGTGAAACGTAACCAGCAAACGCTGAAGCTGTTGCGTTATTGCTGGACATTGAAGGGAAGTTGACTGTTGGATGGTTGAAGACACAACTTGACGTCATCTCTTTTGTCACACAGCCTTTAGGAGACGTTTTTGTCACTGTCAGGCGCCTAGCAAGCAAAAATCTTTCGTGTAGGCCCGATAGGCTGCAAAGCTTTTTTTAGATAGTATTGAAGACTTGCCCAACCTTTTTAGCAACAATCATGTGTATGCTCAGGCTTTTTTTATAATGGTAGTACGCCCCTGACTGTGAATCTTCATGCATAGATCTAAATATGAAACGCACGAAGCGATGACGCCGGTCTCATTTGTTTCAAGTTCAGGTGGGTAAATCAGTGGAAGGGATTAACTGATTAACTATCTGATTGTTATTGAACAACAACACATCCTAGATACACCTGAAATTAAAGTTAAACTTCTTGCTAGATTACCTTGTTTTGGTTTTTGTCAGAATTCGGACAAAAAGAAGCTCGGCAAGGAGATGAGCACTATTGGTGCCCATTGGGATGTTGGTTTCTTGTCTAACTGTTTAACTCCCACGTTTGACGAAGACGAAGCACATAGCACGTTATCCATGAAAGAGGCCTCCAGTGTGAACCCGACGAGAGAAAACCTGTATGCACAAAGTCCACCCATACGTGGCCATACTCATCTTTGTCCTCTGAGGTGCCCTTTGTCACGTGATGACCGAACGGAGCATAATCCATTGTCTAACAAGTATTACGTCTGAAGCGGAATATGTCGAGTGAGCGCCCCAATGCACCCGTTTCTCGTTTCGTGCTATATTTGGTATACTACAGTGATTCATAGTTGTATAGTTATGTGAAAATGTCTCTCCCACTGTCCCAGAACCATTGTGACAATGAAGTGACTGAGATACGATGTTACTTGTTCAAAACAACATCCCACATTCGTTTCATCAAAACAGCGTTAAATATTTTTGGAAAAAAGACGAAAGATATCGAAGCAAAAGATCGACAGATGATTTTTTCTCCAAAGATAAGCCAAGAAATACCATGCCAAGAGCACCTGTTTACCCTCACCGCTATCACGTGCCAACCAATCAGATGAACCTACTACCTATAAGAAATTCAGAACGCAATCCCTTTTTAACCGCAGCTGTATAGGCGGGTGTCGTATTAATTGCTGGGACTCGACAAAGAGGTTCACCGTGGTGACACTCAAACCCAATACGTCGGGAATCCTTCTTGTTGAGGCTCAATCAAAGATTCGGACCTTGGGCCACTATATTGGAATAATTGGACACATTCGAATCATTTCGTTTATCTTGGAAGATCAGGAGTCATGTACAAAGTTGCCGTCATTTTAGTATGCTTAGGCCTTGCCAGGGCCTTCGTCTTTGACAGTGAGTATTGACAATTCTTTGGGAAAAACAAAATATATCTATGTGTTAAAAATGTTTCAATTTTTGTTTCTTTAGGGGAATGTAAATGACTACTGTGTCGGGCTTGGAGAACACTGGTATTAAATAACTTGTGTGGTTGTTTTTGTTCAAGCGTCAAAACACATCGTTATAGTTGACAGAAGTCAGGATTGTTTAGAATATCCATCATGCCTTGTACACAAGTGATAGTTTACACCTCGAGTCATATTATGTTTTTTGTCAGTCCACTATATTTTTAATCTTTCTCAAAGAATTGATTTATAAATCTACAATTTGCTAAGTAGTTTGTTTAAATGACCGGCTACCACAATCTTTTGCACCAACAAATTATAAAATTGTTAAACAATATTGAGAAAGTGAGGTTGGAAGAGGTGTGGTTGCGTGAGTGGATGTGTCGTAATCAGTTTGGTTTTTAACGCCGAACTCCGCAATATCCCAGCTAATGACTGCAGTTTGAAAATAACAATATCATGAGCATGAGATAACAAATAACATGAGCATCTATCTATCAATTAGTATACACTCACATGCAACGACCACGTCAGCGAGCCTGAAGCTGACAACCCGTTAGAGGTTTCTGAAGATCACTTCTAACAAGGATCTTCACGGCTACTGTGATCAGTAGCATCATGAACGGCTGTAAGCAACCGAGCTTCAACCATCTTTTGATCTGTTCAACAGGGCTAGCAACAATCTATCGGAGTGAGTGAGTGAGTGAGTTTAGTTTAACGCCGATTTTTAGCAATATTCCATCAATATGACGGCGGGGTACATCAGAACAATATACCGGAAACTATGCCGAAGTTGCTGTTTGGATAATCTGGATGACTATATAGATGCGGATTCAAAAACACAGTACAAATATCTCATATAGTGTTTTTAGTTATTTCAGTTTACCCACCCTCACTCCTATTCCCCTGTTTGTTCAAGACACCGGGTGTTCAGACCGTGAGTTTAAGTGCCGTAACGGCGACTGTGTGGACAAAGACTACACGTGCGACACCGAGGACGACTGCGTCGACGGATCCGATGAGATTAACTGCGGTACCTGTTCACATCTGTACTCTCACCAGAACGTAGCATAGGGGGATGTCCATCCATCGTCCGTAGGGTTATGCACCTGGGACGTGGGATGATGTGCAGTAACTCCTTTTTCTTAGTGTATGTTTAACCGTGTTGGCTGAGGGGGCAAGATGGCTGACTTTGTGTGCTGGCGGTTAGGTATCTGACTCTGAGAGTGTGGGTTCGAATCCCGGATGGGACTCAACCCAACAATAGTACTAGAATCTGTACTTTACTGAGAAAGTGTAATCCTCCCAAATATAACAATGTTAAACATAATAACGATGAAAGAAATGTTTCAGGTTCAGGAATCTGAAACACTGTGATTTGCCACGGGACGATGAAATTAGACAATAACAAGGAACATAACAGATCGTGACAATAACAAGGAAACATAGTTATTACATCTGAGAGCCTGTAGGAGTCGTCCTCATAGACACCAATGTCGTGTTGGACTGTAATGTCATTTGGATTTGCTCTGCTTGAATGTGAGTTATTAGTTGAACACTGAAACACAATTCTTCTATTTGGGCATGTTATTGAGTATTCATCGTATTGTTTTCTCAGCAAAAAAAAAAGCTTCAGAGATTTGATATTGGAAGGCTAGAACGGTTGTACCAGATGCAGGGGCACCCTCTCATAGCACTGAAACCAAACAATGACTCAATTATTTGACGGGCTGAATAATCTGGAACTCATTCATTATTTTGTGCGAGGACGAGTATCTTGGTGTTAATTCTACCCATGGAATTCATCCACAGAGAATAACTAAGGAAATATTGACAAAAGAAAACACTTTGAAGAACTTGATAATTTTGACGCTGTTCTATATTTTTCAAAGCAATTTGCAGTGTCTATCATTTACATACTGTCCAATATTTAGTATGTACAGATGGTCTTTTGTCTGTCTGTGACTACGGGGAAATTGCATACTTATCTATGGTCAGATGATTTTCATTGTAATCCCCGTGTATTCTTGAACTCACTTCATCCTCGCCAACTTTTGTAGCCACTGACTGTTCCGGAAGCCATCAGTTCAAGTGCAACTCGGGCAAGTGTATCACACACGAGTATTTCTGTGACGGCGATGACGACTGTGGCGACGGCTCCGACGAGAGCGACTGTGGTAAGTGGTAACAACAATTTGATTGACACCTCCTGGAATCGAAACAAGATAGTGATGTTTTCATAAAAACTAATATCAATGATGTCCCAATGCTTGAAGTAAGAACCGACAGAATGAGGCCCGGGTATATGACCTGGCTGATGGACTTTCTGGCCATCCGAGGGATCGTATCGTTGCTCCTGTTACCAACGAATAGGGCCTGTAAGTCTCGCAAGGTGCTACTTCCGGTACCCGGCTCCCTTTGCGCGCGCCAACTTGCGATATGGAAGACGGTCCCAGCTTACTTCCAGTATCAGATTTCTGGTGACAAGCGTAATTCAAGAACCAGTTCTGGTTGCGCGACCGTCAAATATGAGTTTACTAGACCGGACCAAGTGTCCGTTGTGTCTCGCGAAGTGATGTGACCTACTAACGGGCCCTATGGCTTGTCTTGTGTAGTACGCAGGAAGTGTTGCTATCTGCGGCAGTGAGCAACATTTGCTCATTCCTTGACCTGTCAACTGGATCTTAGGTTTAACCTGAGTAGCATTGGACCATTTGTACTTTGTAGTCTTCTGTTGTATCTGGTCTTTCTCTAGGATCTTAACATAGACAGTAAATTTTTTTGAAATCTTCATCTTTGTGCAAGTGCTGATGCATCACTTTCATATTGTGATGGCACCCGGTGTTCGTGGAAAGGGGAGCGTATCCTGCACCACCGACGACACAGTCGCAAACACATTATCCTTTGACTTGTCTATCAAGGGACATTCATGCAACCATTTGTTTAGCGCAGAGATGACCTGAATCGTTCATTTTTCATCCTTTGGATGTAGTTTGATGGTATGTAAATGTGCTGGAAGGGAAGTTCACATAATAAACACACAAATATACACATGTTTGATGTCACAGGAGCACAGAAGTGTGACCCGCATGAGTTCCACTGTGTGAATGACGGCATCTGCGTCGAGGACACGTATTACTGCGATGGCGACAAGGACTGCACCGACGGTTCAGATGAGGTTAACTGCAGTAAGTATGCAACGCTCATGGTGGACATGTTTCTACACCACACACAACCAGGGCGCGGGGTATTTGTATAACAAGAATATCATTCATTTCACTTTGAGAAGATGTATATTTGCCGTTTACCTTTCATAGATCTCACTTAGTTGCGTATGTATTTCATATTATTATAAATATGCCTCTAAAAGAAATTTTAGGGGTTAAAACATGTTTATATTAACCATGCTATCCAAAACCAATATATATATACTGTATTTCATAAAAAAAGTAAAACTTACAGGAATCAATGACCTGTTGTTTATCCACGGCGCCTAGTAGTTACGACTTAAGACCTAATGAATGGACCCAGTAACTTTCCACAGAGAGAGAGAGAGAAACACACACACACACACACACACACACACACACACACACACACACACACACACACACACACACACACACACACACACACACACACACACACACAGAGGTATTCCTGAGTACACACTACATCTTGGCTTCAGCCTCATGCATGGACGACCAATTCCGATGTACTTCCGGTTTGTGTACTGACTTGAACTACAAGTGTGATGGCGACGACGACTGCAGCGACGGCTCAGATGAACACAACTGCGGTAGGTCTTCTCTGTTAAGACAACAGTGTTGTCAGAAACCCGGCCCACTTCACATTAACTGCCAGTCTTGGCAAGTTTCCCGTGTGTGGATGCAAAGGAACAAAGTAAAACATGGTGGTTGTATTAGATTCGATAGAAATGGTTTAGCTGGGTCGGGTGGTCAGTCTAAGTGACTTGGTTTATAGCGTTGTCATCGAACCCTGACCTCGGATCGTTGCTTCCAATATCGATCAATAGATTATCTGTTCCAGACTCGATTATTTACAGGCCACCATCGTATATTTGGAAAAATATCTGAGGCGTAAAAGAGAAAACAAATCTAGGACGTTTGATTGAATTGAATCAACATTTCTTCTCTGGGTGGTTCAGTATTCAGTAGTGTAGTGTAGACGCTGAACGTCTTCAATGTGTTCCAGGTACTTGCAAGGTCACCGAAGTTAAGGCTGGTGGCTATTGCAACGAAAAACCTTCAAACTGTGGGTGGTCTTTGAGTTCAGTAGTCAGTAGTATTGTCCCCGGACGTTAAACATCTTCAATGTGTTCCAGGTCCCTGCAGTACCTCCCAGTTCACTTGCGCCAACGGCAGATGCATCCAGAAGAGCTGGGTGTGCGACGGCGACAATGACTGTGACGACTTCTCCGACGAGAGGGGCAGTTGCGGTAGGCGGGTTGCACCTTTTACTGCTAAAATATGATATCATGTTCTATTTTTAAACAACCTGTCAACAGAAACCTTTAGAGACTGAAGTCTCCACCAGCGTCCACATGTCCTTTTGGATGAAAAATGTTAGTTTAATGTCACATTTCTAGGAACTTTAGAATGTCACAATGTTTCTGAATTGTATATGAAAATTCACCTTTTAGACATCTTTCTGCATTTTACCTGAAAAGAGGCACTCAAGGTGTTTGTTTAGAGAGACAGAGAGTTAGTTCCACGCTATAGACCAAACTAGATTATGGTTTACGAGTCAATTACTTGAAAACGAGACTCTATACGTGTATGTATAACTGACAAGAGAAATTGACTTTTTGCTTGACAATCAGTTGAGGTTGCACTGAAGGGTCCTTGACCATGTCTAAATTCACGTGTATGTGTGTTCATTCAAAAATATTCCTAAGGAGGATTTTAGAGTAAGTGATAAAGGCTATATTTTGTATCAGAATATGTTATATGCATATTTTCCTCAAGTAAAATTATGCATAATGATTTTAGTCTACCTATTTACCAGAAGTTTTTGGACATGCTTGCACGGTAAATAGAAGATTCGGCTTGTCTAATAGGACAAGACGTGGTTTCCATTTCCATAAACATCTGCTGTCATCGCTGATATTCAATATTCAGTGATCGATTCAGAAAATTTTCAATCACCCAATTGTGACTGCAATTTTACCTTTTACACCCTGTTCAAAAGTCGTTGCTAATCGATACTTGTCTCTGGCGTTAAAGGGGCGGTGGGGTAGCCTAGTGGTTGAAGCATTCGCTCGTTACGCCATAGACCCGGGTTCGATTCCCCACATGGATACTATGTGTGAAGTCCGTTCCTGGTGTCCCCCACCGTGATATTGCTGGAATATTGCTAAAAGCGGCGTAAAACTACAATCACTCACTCCGGCGTTGAGGTTTTGTATTTGTTAAATCTCATGTTTATTCTCTCTTGATCTGAAAATGTTTACATGTTATATGGCCTCAGAGTCGAAGTCCCTCGGTGTGATATTCATTGACCAAATGGATACATATCATCTATAAATGTCTGCAAAAATAACCCATTAGCTGGTAAATTTCCTCCCGTGTATGAAGTGAAAAGACTGTATCCAAGTCTTGTATAAGATTCATATCGTTACAGGAACCGTTTCTCCAAACGAATGTCGGGACGTGCTGATTGGCCGTGACTGTGCCCTGATGAACGAGACTCACAATCCCATCTGTCTGGATGATGTAGACGGTGCGCACTACTGTAGGAAGTACTGTAACCTGTGTGCACCTGGACAGACTGTTGGTTAAATAAACACCTTAACACAACAATAGTGCCTGTATTGTGATATACATTGGTGAACGTGACATGGTGGAGGAAAGCTTGAGGTGTTTTAGATGAAAACTGCGGACTCCTGTATGGTGCTAACAATGCAAGAATCATCATCATGAGATACTGGGATCAGAAAAGACTAAGGGAAGCAGCTCTGCACCTCTATACACATAAAAAAGTATTGCAATATCTATGTTTTAACCCCCATTTTAGATATACACGAGCTACGATCAAAGTCAACTGCCACGTGCAATACGCGTACCCATTAAAAAAATCTCATGGTTCGGTAAACTTTTCTTACAGCGCGATAACTTAGAAATTCAATCGATTTTGTTGTTGATCAGCAAATATGGGGCTTCTCCAGCCTAAATGGTGGAGGAAAGCCTGGGGTGTCTCAGATGAAAACCACCGACTCTGTGTGGTGCTGACAACCTGGTGCTGTATCCTGTATACAATTAGACAGACTGTTGGTCAAAGAAAGACCTTAACATAACGCAACTGCCAGGCTTGATACCCAAAGCTAACCGTGATAGCTTGATGGTGAAGGTGTCGCAGGTGTTTATCACTTTGGAGAAAACAACAGGCACAACATTGGTGCTGACAATTCATAAAATCATTGTGATTCGAGTTCTCGATCACTGGTTACCCAGAGACAACTCTGTACCACTACTTCAGGTCTTAGATGACATGATGTGTTGTCCAGTGTTAATACTTCTGTGGTGTTTGCAAAAGTAACTGACAAAGGTTTGTCTGACGGAACCCTGGCGTATTTCCTGTATAGTGTTTCACGCACCTCTGTAGTCCGTTTAAAAATGAATCCGTATATAAACACATAACACGCCACCCTGGCAACATGTCAAGAGACCTCATAACCTGTCTGTACCTACTCCTGTCCTCTGTCAGTGACTGGCTGAGGAAGTATACTTGTCGAGCTGGCACCACGAGGCTATGGATTTGAGAGTTGCCATGTGACCCTGTAAGGGCGCCCTTTGACACGTGAACACCGATTGAAGTGATCTAACAATTATTCAACAAGTATTACACTCATAGAGGAATTTGTCTAGATAGCCTCGAGTGCCTCGGTACACCCATCTCGTATTTCGTGTCACTTTCGGTTGAATACAGTCATACATGTTGGAATAGTTATTGGATATTGTGCCAACCATTTTCAGTGTGAATATATTGGATATGACTGAGATACTCCGTCAAGTGTCCAAACCTAACCATTCAAGACACTTTACATAAAGATGTACTTGAACCTGTTTCTTAAAGAAAGAAAGGCATTTCGCCAAATACCGACAGGTTTATCTTTTTTCATAGATAAAACAAGAAATGCCATACCAAGGGCACCTGTTTGTCCGCACCTCTATCACCCCGCCGTTTTAGCGGTTCGTGTACCTACAGGAGATTCAGAAAGCAATCCTATTTTACAAAAGCTATATCGACTACCGTTAGGCTGTCAGATTCAGTGAAGAGGATCTTTTTGACAATTCTCGGGTAAAAAAACATTCTAACATCATATCTATATGTCGAAATGTTTCCACTTATCGTTTCTTCTAGGTAATGTAAAGGATACTTAATATGGCTTAGGGAAAGTGGTACTTTATGACTTGAGTGATTATGTATTTTACCCAAACGTCAAAACAAATGGTTTTCCTTCCATAGTTTTGGCGGTTAACAACAGTGCCCTTCTTAAAAGGAATAATCTTTATTTTTCGTTTTCAGAATATACTTTTAGAATTAAGAATATTATTTCTTGTGCACAACTTAATTTGTTAAACATCTAGCCGAAATATTTTTTTTCAATATTTTGAACGTAAAGGAAGATATATTCATAAATCGCGAATTGCACATGATCTTTCGTTCAACCATCATACTGCCATCAATGCAATGATTGCAGACATTCGGAATTATTATGCTTATTTTAGCCTTTTCACCCTTTATCCTTGAAAAACGTGCGAAAAGGGAAGTGCTAAATAAATTCAAGACATAAAATAATGTACACGTACCGGCTGTAACAGGAACACAGAAGTATAAGTTCCATGGTGTATCTGACGGCATCTGCGTCGAGGACTCCTGTAGGTGTAATGGCGACGTCACAGATGAGGCCAACTGCAATAGTGAGTGAGTTTAGTTTGACGCCGCATTCAGCAGTATTCCAGCTATATGGCCGTAACTGCAATAAGTGACATTAGTGGACGTGTTCCATCAGAGATAACCAGGGTTTAGGGTAATCGTCCAAAGTAGAAGAGAGGAAGTCCCGCTCTTCATTATGAACTGCCTTTCCATTCCTCTGGTAATGCTATGGTAGCTTTATCAATACTATGCATATCAGGTTTTACTTAGAAATATAAGTCTAAATATTATTTTTTTGTTCAAAGGTTAGGCCATATAAAATTAATTTCGTGTTTCTCATTACCGCCCAACCTTAATTTGCATTTTATTTTTTGCACTGGTAAATTTTTGTGTATAAAGTCGACATGCGTGTATAAAGACTTCCGAAATCCGTCTCCGCTTCCGGCATTCTAAGTTTTCGACTAACACTGTATAGAAAATCAGAAAATAATAAAAATAAAGAAAATCCGCCCTACCTACCCATTTTAAAAAAGTGATGAGAAACAAGAAATAGATTTGATGTGAGCGGTTTTATGCAGGTTGCTTTTCATCGTGCCGTCCAAAACCTCTAGCAGTTTTAGTTTTCGAGGGTTATTATAACTTCATTATAATGAAAGCAATGCTTTGGTGTAGGTTCTAACCATGTTATCAAGCGAGGTATTAACAGTATGCTTTGTATGAAATATGGTATTTGCTATGAAATGTGGTATGTGTACCAGGAAAATGAGTAAGACAGTCTGAGGTATGTTCTGTAAACATATTTTAAGCTATGATTTGTAAAAACCCGACAAGTACCCTTCAAAACCTAATGCGCCAGAAGACAGACATTTCCAAATGGTCCTGCCAGGGCCCCAGTAGATGCGTAGAGAACCTCTCAGCCAATGAAGGGACGCAGTAACCACACTTGTGATGTCAAAGATTATAGGCATCCAGCAAGTTCGAATCAAGTAATGCAAAGTTTCATCTTGTACGATTACAATCTGTTTCCGTTAGGTATAATCATATGATGTGTATCAGTCTTAAAATTTACGTTTCCCCTAACGGGATTACGTCCTACAAAGCTCTAATTGTTCGCTCTAGAATGAAATGAAGCAACAGGACTGTCCTCCTTAAAAATACATAAAAAATACATGATAGGGACCCATGGCGCAGGGACAGGATTGTGGATGTTCTGTGCTCGTTATACTAAGTCCTCTGCCAAAAGGAAGTATACAACCTTTCATGTTATATTTTGAAAACTCTGTCAGTAAGACCATTTGAGAAAGTCCTGAACTCAGTTGTACTTTCCGACCAGTGTTCATGTGATAAAAAGTGAGATGAACAGATTGTTGGGGATGTTACGCTTACCCTTTCACAGACACCTGGTGTCAACATTGATTTCCAGTGATCCTTTCATAGAACCTTATGCGATCCATTCATATGATAATTATTGTTACCAATATCTTATAACGCAGTGCCATGGAATTTGTTTCGGCAGATAATCGAAACTTTTCTGAAGGGAGGCTACACCACATATTGACATTGTGCTCGGTTATTGATACTGAGAACGTGCTGTCTCACGGTATTTATATTTGCCTTAAAATAAAATAGATGAATTTAGGTTTATGGTGACATCAGAGTTGCTAAAGTTCCAAGGTTTATTCAGATGCAGAGTGGTACGGGTTGGCTGACCAGTCAATGTACAAAGCGGAAGTGATAAGGATTACGAATGCAGATTAGCGCCATACAAATATTACAATGAAGTCACACGTGGCTTGGCTACATAGTTTTTGGTCTTTTGAAATATTTGGACGATAGCTGTCCTGGATAAAACGCTATGACAATACTTATGTGATTGTTTTAGGAATCTTGAAAATGACTTGTTTACATCATTTTTTACCACATTCGCCTTTTATTATTAACAGTTTTTCGTTCTTTTTGGCGTTTAGATTTGCCATATAATTATTCCTTGATGGCCAGTGTGTTCAGATAGTATGTTAAATTGAGGTTTGGATACGTTCCTTTGCTGTGGTTACATATTGATACATTTTAGCCCGATTCACATGTAATGATGCACCTGTTTGCACTCGTATGTATATATGCACACATGAGCAAATTATACATACGTGTGTAAATGTGTCATGTGAACGCATTTACTCACGTATGTAAATATACACTAGGAGCAAATTTACATGTGGTCAGGACCAGGTGCAAAAGTATATTTACACATGTGCAAATTTGCACTGTGAGTAAATTGTGCCATGTGTACGCATAGCAAAATATACACATATGCAAATCACCTCTTTCAGATCTTCATTTAGGGCGCAAAACATCACATATGGTCTGACAAACTTCATGATTGTATTTACAAACAGTGGACTTCCCAACACCAAACTTCCCACAGTTCTATATTCTGAAGTTGAAGCCATCAAGTATATTATTCATTTGTACATCCAAAGGTCGGCGAACAGCTTTGTAACTATCTTTTAAGTAATACTGCAGTTCATTCGAAAATAATCGTACCAGTCTTTGTCGTCAATATATTTATTCATGTTGTTCTACCAAACAGACTGTCTTTCTTTCTTCCACAGAGGTCTATCTTATGACAGACTTACAAGAGCAGATGATACTGTGTTTGCCTCCTTAAGCGCCAGCGATAATAGAACACCTTTCTCTGTTGAAGGTCAGAGAAAAAAGAGACAATTTAACACATTTATTATTAACACTTTCAAGTTTACTTCAATGTGAACGCAAAGTAAATTTACTATTACACAGGTATGTACATTTACACATGTGCAAATTTACTTACATTTACTTACATTACTCAGTAATGGGTATGACCCACACGTGCCTCAATGCATGCTGTGATGCGTCGTTTCATCGATGACGTCAGACGTCTGTTGACGTATGCTGGAATCCTTTGCCACTCCACCCTCAGGGCTCGCCCCAGTTCTTGTTTATTGTCAGTGGGTTGTGGACGACTTCTTATCTGTCTCGATCCGTGAAGGTCAGGGTTAGAATTGATCTTCAGTAAACCATGCTTGTCGTAAGAAGCGACTAACGGGATTGGGTGGTCAGGCTCGCTGACTGGGTTGACACATGTCATCGTATCCCAATTGCGTAGATCGATGTTCATGCTGTTCATCACTGGATTGTCTGGTCCAGACTCGATTATTTACGGACCACCGTCATATAGCTGGAATATTGCTGAGTGCGGCGTAAAACTAAACTCACTCACTCTATCTGTCTCATAAGATGGTCCGATAGATGCTCTATCGCGTTCATATCAGGTAAGTGGGTAGGCCAGGGAAGGACATGACTGTTGTGGCGGTTGAGAAAGTTCTGTGCCAGTCCTATTGTATGTGGCCTGGCATTGATCTTTTGAAACACTGTTTCCAGTGGATGGTTTTGTATGAATGGGAGCACACCTGGTCTCTGTACTGCATGGCGTATAAGTTCCCTGCACAACTACAAGATCAGTTTTCCTTTCCCCACAAATAGCTCCCCACACCATGGTGCCACCTCCGCCGAAAGGCTGGACCTGTTGAATGCACACAGGAGCTAGTCGTTCACCTCTACGGCTATAAACCCGTTGTCTGCCACCATTCTGTAACAACAGCACTTGGCGCCACTGCCTCAACATGCCAGACTCGAACTCGCCTAGCCCATCGCAATCTCAGGCGTCCATGCTGCACTGTCGAAAACATTCCCCGGAAGGGACGGCAGCACGAAGTCCAACTGTACGTAGCACTGTACGTGGGCTGTCCCAGTGCTGCTGCAGCCGTTGCCATCGGCGACTGAATCTGTTTCGAAGGTGGATGATCCTTATTTGCTGGTCTTCCCGTTATGGGCCTGTATTCAGTCCTTCCTGTCTGCCGGTATAGTCGCAGAAGCCTGGATACCGTCAGCAGCGTACACATGAACCTTCTGGCAATTTCGACTTGTGTAGCCCCCATTTCGGCCATACCGACGTTAGTCTCATACAGCATGGCACCAGTCAGTTGCACAACATGGCACCTTTAGTTCTATTGCGTTTCGGATATGTTATTTGTCTCTCCCTATAGTCGATACTGACTGTCAGAATAAACACTCTTCATTATGGATCACATTGTTAAAGAAAAATGACTCTTGCCAACCTATACTTTCTTTTGAATAATATGGGGTGTTGTGATTCGTCTTTTCCGTGTGAACAGTTTTAGAGATCTGAATGACTAGCTTATCTCTATTATGTGTTGCATGGCTAAGTCTAAGCTCGTCTTTGGTGTTTACAAAAACTATGTGTTGCATGGCTAAGTCTAAGCTCGTCTTTGGTGTGTACAAAAACTGTAAACCGAAGAAAAGGAAATATACCAGACACGATGGTTGATTTTGTCTTTCGTAGACTATCCATTTTGAAGTCAAAACGTAAATATGTAACAGTATACGATGCCTTGGGAATGAGTTTTCACGCCCTTATTCAGTTTCACGTTTCATGTATTTTTAGCTGATCAACAGTGGTTCGCGATTGTACGTTTGTGTGAATTAACCCATGCTTGTCGTAAGAGGCGACTGACGGGATCGGGTGGTATATTGCTGAGTGCGGCGTTAAACAAGAAACACACAAACAACTGATCATCATCTGTATTGAAAATCCTTTTTTGCCTGACTGAGATAGCAGGAGATTATTCAGGACTAAGCATGCCACGTGCTTCAAGTCAAACTGCAGTCCGCCACATCGGAAGAAAAAGAATATTATCGACGCCAATCTTTCCAGGTGGATATATTTAGAGATAAGCCGAGTAGTCCCATGCCACCGGCACCTGTCTACTCTCACAGCTATCATGCACACATAATTCAGGTGCACCCATTACATTTAAAGAAATGCAGAAAGCAATCCCATTGCTCGAAACCTATTGTAAGTGGACTAGTCCAAGGGTGTTCTAGTCATTGCCGAGACTCAAGGAAGAGGTTCACCATAGTGACACTGGACTTTTGAAGGTCGGGGGTCTTTGTTGTTGAGGCTCATTACAAAATTTGAACTTTCGGCCACTATAAAGAAATCGTCAGACCAAGTTTCGTCTCATTTTCGTCTCTCTCTGGAGATCAGGAGTCATGTACAAAGTTGCCGTCCTTTTAGTGTGCTTAGGCCTTGCCAGGGCCTTCCTCTTTGACAGTGAGTATTGACAATTCTGGGAGAAACATCATCACAATATATCTGCATGAAGGAGACAAATGCTTCGTTTGGAATTAGCTATGTTCATGACTCCTTTCTAAAAAAAAATTAAGTTAAAAGTTCTAAAAGTGGAACTAAGTAACTCTACCCATGAAGTGGTGCTTGTTAAAACGTTCACGTCTGTGAGTGGTGATGTGAATGGTCTGGGTTGTTCTGATCGCAAACTTTCATGGTAGCAAGCTTTCTCTAAGATGTCAAGCGTTGGCTCGTCACGCCAAAGACCCGGGTTCGATTCCCCACATGGGCACAATGTGTTAAGCCCATTTCTGGTGTCCCCCGCCGTGATATTGCTGGAATATTGCTAAAAGCGGCGTAAAACTAAACTCAGTCAGTCAGTCTAAGATGTCAAACTGTCGGTGAGTATGTCATCGTTAGAATCTTGAAGAGGATTCTCTTTTGGGGCTGACAGCACTGGTTTGAAGAACTCATATTCCCTTGTCCATGACAAGACGTGAGATGTTGATTGGCTTCTGATCCAGTTCTCAAGGAAGTGCAGCAATTCACAATGCTACCTTGGCAAGAATCAGTACATTGGTCGAGTTAACAAGGTATTTTGATGTTCATCACAAGAAAGTTCGCAGGTCTTGGTGCTCGGTGCATGTTTTTATTGTGTTGGGGGTAATCAGTCCTAGACCAGATGTCACGATAACGGCGCCTCATCTGTGAGTGACGTCATCATGACGTGTCCAGCTGTCTGGTTCAGTGACTTTGGATTCTCTATTGTATCTATTGAACTTTGGGAAGTTTGTACACATTGGATTGTAAATGTCTGTTGTGGATCTTCAATGCTTACTTGCCTTTTCTGAACGACTTCCGTTTTACAATATCACACTCGTTGTCGTCTGCATGTCCATGAAACTGTAGATTATGGGTTTGCATGATTTTGAGTTTTCGAAAGATTGTCAAACAGAATCGGACCACGTGTTGTTCCCTGAGGTACACCAAACTGAAATTTGCATGATTCTGATTCGATGTTTGCCTATACGTATGGATAAATATGACAAGAAGAATTAATTAATTTAATCCTGTCATGATTTTTGAAAATTAAAGCACAAATCCTGATTCATCTCCCTATCTGATCTGTTTCACAGATTGCCAAAGGTGTAACCTCACTTTCGATGCATTGATGACCTAATGTCTTTCCAAAACGACAACATAATTGAATATAAGGACGTTTCTATTCAAATCAAAGAAACAAGGAAGACTCGTAAGTTTGGCACATACTGCTCAAAGACGTGAGAAATCAAATTGTGTGCACTGGGGGCGAATTTCATATAGCCAAAGAAAATAACACATGGAGGCATGCTTATTGGGCAAAAATCTGCTGTCATATGCCACACAATTCCAACAAACAACATGTGACCACTAGCTAGTCAGGTCACACGTCAAGATGACAATATCTGACCAAAACTAAAACGTAAAAAAAGAAAATCACGGAGACAAATTCATTGTCCAATAAAACAATCCTCAGTGGTGGGTATGTGGTCCTCATGATGCGATCACAGCCTCTCACCATCGTATCACGCTCCGAATAAGTATCTCGATAGTCGACACGGGAAGATTGTTCCACTCTTCAGTAAGAGTTCCGAGTGAGTTGCCTAAACGGCAGGGCGTCGTGAGAATGCGACCTGCACCTTATTCCATATATGTTCTGGAGGTCTGATGATAGAGCTCAGCTCGGTGTGGCGATGGTCTCCAGCTCAAGTAGGTATAAGCGTTTTTACAGTCCTTGATCAAGTCCAGCATACGGGCTCACGTGCACAATAATAATACCTGTTGCGCACACGCGTAATATTCCGAGTGAGTGAAAACGTGTGTATGGTGTTACGCCGCTTATATCAATATTCCATCAATATCACGGCGGGGGTCACCAGAAATGTTCTTCACATATTGTACCCATGTGGGGAATCGAACCCGGGTCTTCGGCGTGACGAGCGAACGTGTTAACCACCAGGCTACCCCACTGCTCTGTAATATACCGAACGACAGTTGCAGAATGTATCTATCCAATCAGAGGATACTTTGCATAGACCCCGAGGAAGTAATGCCATACATTGCATGCCATTAGTTAGGTGTTCCTTTGTTCGGTTTCCAGTTCTCTTTTCAAAATACGGAATTTTCACCGATGAAAGACTTCCAAGAGAAGAACCCCCTGTTCTCTTTTTTGAAATATACTATTATTCAAGCAATACTGAGTGATGGCGAGTTCATTATATTGTTAGCGCATGTGACTGAGGTAATGAGGTTGAGGCCTCACAGAGAACTATCAGCAATGGTGTATGGACCATCCATTGCTCATGATACTGCAGATCTGTGTTGTTACCGCTGTTTGCGCTGAATTTGTGATGAGGCTTAGTGTGATAAGACTCCAGAAAAAATGCTGAATGATGTATAAGTTGGTTGGTAGGTTGGTTGTTTAACGCCGCACTCAGCAATATTCCAGCTATATGGCGGAGGTCTGTAAATAATCGAATTTGGACCAGACATTCCAGTGATCAACATCATGAGCATCGATCTACGCAATTGGGATACAATGACATTTGTCAACCAAGTCAGCGAGCCTGACCACCCGATGCCGTTAGTCGCATCTTACAACAAGCATGAGTTGCTGGAGAGTAATTCTAACCCGGATCTTCATGGGTTGATGATACAGAAGAAAAACACCCCTCTAATTATGAAATATCCTTGACTATCATTCACACCTGTTTGTTCAAGATTCCGGGTGTACGGACCGTGATTTCAAGTGTCGTAGCGGCGAATGCATTGACAAAGACTACACTTGCGACACCGAGGACGACTGCATCGACGGTTCCGATGAGATCAACTGTGGTGGGTATTTATAACTCTATCTAGATCTACGTAGGAATACGACACAGCCTGAAATTTGTCGGTCCATCCTTTTCATTATCATCTGACTTCATCTCAAAAAAACGAAAGCCTGAGATTTGAGAATTTGTAAAGGCACAATGAAAGTAAGATTCGTTCGAAAATCAAAACCTGTTTACATCCGACTTCCATTCCGGAACAGCAGAGGGAATCTGCCTAAAACATGGGGTAGCAGAACGAGCAATAATCTAACATTTGACAACCTATAGTACAAACCATAAGGCTTATGTGAAGGATTATACAATGACTCAGATTTCTTGCCTGAACGCGAGACCTTAAAATGAAAGTTTCCTCACTTGATGCCCGAGGAAGACGTTGGTTGTGGTAAGCAAAGGCACCTTGGTGTTGCATTCATTTATCATGTTTATGTTAGCAGTAATGACAACAGACACCAATGACAGCGCTACGAATTATGACCATTACATCCTTCTATTCAAAGATTCATAACCGTCTGTGTCTGTGGATGAATTTCACCTACATGTACCTCACTTGAGAATATATTGTAGAATGGTTGCCAGTGAAAGTATTGTATAATTTCTCGTCTTATTGTAGCCACCGACTGTTCCGGCAGCCATCAGTTCAAGTGCAACTCTGGGAAGTGTATCACACACGAGTATTTCTGTGACGGCGATGACGACTGTGGTGACGGCTCCGACGAAGACGACTGCGGTAAGAACCTATGTCATTAGCATTTGCAAATTTCAGGAATCAAAACATAAGGGATGGGAGCAATGTTACGTCATATGTTGTTTTTTTTGTCTCAGCAATTTTCCGCTCTATGGCGGCGGCCGGGACCAGACAATCCAGTGATTGAAATCATGAGCATCGATCGATATTGGGATACCATCCCATGTGTCAATCAGGTCAACAATCTGATTTGCTTCTGAAGACCAATTCTAACCCGGATATTCACGGGTTACATCACATGTCAGGGGCGGATGCAGCTTTTTGAGAAAGGGGTGGGGGGTCACACTATTGAGAAAAGGGGGGGGTGCAAACTTCATTTTTACCTGAGTTTCAATGGTCATTGAACAAACTTTCAGGACAAAGAGGGGTGTGTGCGGTGCGCACGCGCATTTTACCACGCACACAATAGACACACACACACACACACACACACACACACACACACACACACACACACACACACTGGATCCGCCTATGCATGTAATGTGTATCATTATCTTTACAATCCATGTCGATATCAAAGACACAAGGTTGAGGCGTGTTCAACATTCCCTTTGTGTTGGTATGTCCCTTGGAAGTTTGAGGAAGACTTCCGAAATATCCAATGTTGTCACAACTTCTAGGAAATAATCTTTCTTAAATTTTGTTCCTCATATGACCAATGAGATCACGAAATATATCGGACGCACGGTTTGTCCTCGTTCAGCGAAGGACAGGATTGTTGCTATGCTATCAACATTCAACTGTTTGCTTTGTGGAGACTTTGTGGAGATTATTTCCTTTTAAAAATAATATACATGGAGTGTTGCAGCATGGGCGGAAACAGCTTTTTGAGAACTTGATAGGGGAGGGGTAACACTTTTCACAAAAAGGAATTTCTACACTTCCATTTTCACCCGAGTGTCAATGGTCATTTAACAAACTTTCAGCACAAATTAAGGGGGGGTGTGGTTGTGTGTGCAACCCCTGCAATTAGAGAATTAGAGATGTGAAAACGAAGATTGATTCCAAATATGTATTTAATCATGGTGAACATGATAATCATGCTTATTAACAGAGAATCAATACCATGTGAAGTGCCAGACAATTCGTGGCTAAACCACAAACCAAACTAGACCAGACCAAACACGGTAACATATGGTACAAAACAAAATAGCATTCGTACGAGATATTCTTGTAATTCTTCTCGCTGATTGGTCAATTTCCTCACACGTCTATAAAAGAACCCTTTACTTGGCTAGAATGTAGTTACCCTGAACAAACAGCCTTATTGTGGCCTCAGTGAATGCGAGATCTCAAAAGTTGTGAAATGCAGCCCTCAAAAATGGATCTAAAATATTTCACAAAGGTCATTCTTATTGTTATGGAGTCAAGTGGATATATTTGTCACTATGTGAAGCTTTAAGGCATACACCTGAATATGAAACTGTTAAGAGGTGGTAAATCAGTGGAAGGGAATAGATTGTTATTGAACCGTTATTGAACGACATAACATCATCGATATACCTGAAGCTTCAGATAGCCTTTTCGGCCAAACTCTCATGTTCGTTTGACAGTTCGAGTACAAACCTGATCATCAGTGACTGTATCATACCTGTGTCCATTGGTGTGCATACTCACTACATAAATATCCATATATGTCACACATATGTAATCGACCCATGAAGATCCGGTTTAGTACTGGTCTTCAGTAACCCATGCTTGTCGTAAGAGGCGACTAACGGGATCGGGTGGTCAGGCTCGCTGACTTATTTGACACATGTCATTGTATCCCAGTTGCGTAGATCGATGCTCGTGCTTTTGATCACTGGATTGTCTGGTCCACATTCGAGTATTTACGCCATATGGCTGGAATACTCTGAGCACGGTGTTAAACAACAACCAACCAACCACATATATGAAATCAGTGAGGATGTTCTATCACAAAAGTATCTATCTGTAAACTTCAGATTACTTTCTTTTCTAATGGTCCCCATTCTTTGTGGAAAGATGGTATTTAAGGCCACCACATGTAGACAAAAAATGCAAGAAACCAAGGAAGGCATTGTTTCTCTGAACTAAGGGAAGGGACAAGTTTTTGCATTCTGATGTAAAGATTAGGATGGCAGAAAATTACGAAACACGGTATTACACGAAATATATATATTTGTATCATGTGACAGGTAAAAAGAAGTGCGACCAGTACGAGTTCCACTGCGTGTCTGACGGCATCTGCATTGAGGACGCCTGGTACTGCGATGGAGACAAGGACTGCACCGACGGTTCAGATGAGGCCAACTGCAGTAAGCAAGCAATACACATTAATTGATGATTACAACATTCATACATACTGCTTGGAGATTTGTGAAAGAAGCAGAAAAACTTAACATAATTTCCTTAAACTCTTTATATATCCCAATGTAGTTATTGATATGTTTCTAACAAAAATCATTGCATTTCGAAAAGAAGTATCAGCTGCTATTTCAAGGGACCCGCTGTGTTTTGCCTTTCAAAACATCTTTCGAATATAATTTCGATCTGAAATTGTAAATTACATATCTCTTTGGATAAAACAATATATTTTGGCATGTATACTTTGAATAATATTTGCTTTTCGTTTAGCAGAAAAATTGAATTTGAGGTGGATCCATTTGTCCCAATGATGACATAGAGACCTGCGGAATGAATGACTGGATATATTACTGCCCTTACAACCTGGCTTCCTGTATACACACTCTCTCTCTCTTGGTTTGCAGCCTCGTGCCTTGATGACCAATTCCGATGTACTTCCGGTTTGTGTATTGACGCGCGGTGGAAGTGTGACGGCGACGATGACTGCAGCGACAGCTCAGATGAACATGACTGCGGTAGGTCGTTCATGCCTTACATATATACCCAGGTAAACTGTCAGTTCGACTAAGTTTGATTCAAAGGATCCAAAGGTATTTCTTGTTAAGTAGAAAGAAGGTTTTACGTCGCTGTCTATACAATATATACAATATACATTGTACATCGTATTTACAAACAACAAAACATATTGCTGTTGATGTTGTTGACGTTGAACGTCTTCAATGCGTTCCAGGTTCCTGCAGTACCACCCAATTCACGTGCGCCAACGGCAGATGTATTCAGAAGAACTGGGTGTGCGACGGCGACAATGACTGTGACGACTTCTCCGACGAGAAGGGCAGTTGTGGTAAGATTAGAGCTACTTTCGGACTGAAACTAGAAAAGAGTCAATCAAGTTTTAGCCTTTACAGCGAATTGTTTGCTGAGATTTACACATTAGGTCATAAGGTATTACTGCAACTGGATGATGGAAGTCTGAGAGTCAGTACTTTGAAAAGAGGTCTTCTATGGGCAGGTGTAAACGCTGAGAACTAAAACTGAGTTATTTCTTGACAAACAGTTGAGCTTAGAGGCGCTTTGTCTGAATACACGACTTGTATACAAGTGTGTACGTGTTCAAGAACAATAAATAATAACTTTTGCCACCTGAAATCTGTCCACTGGACACCTTAGCCAGAGATGTGGAACGTTAAAACCCACCTTTATTGTGCCTCTTTGTCACTGTGGTTTTCAGACTGAAATGAACTAACTGCATGATAATTTGCACCTTTGGCATTTCTCTTCTCATGGCCCCAAAAAAGGTTTACAAACTTTACATGTTATATGGTATCATAGCTCATCAAGAAAATCAACGATATCAGGTCACCCGGTAAGTTTTGGGGGATAAGGTGAGGTTAAATTGGGTTTAACGTCGTGCTTGAGAATATTTCGCTCATATGACGACGTGCCTGCGTGTGTATGTGTATGTGCGGCTGCTTGTTCTAGCCCAGACTGAAGCTGGTTTTATAGTGCTAGCCCACTGAGATACCATGCCGCAGTGAAGCATGAATACCCCACTCAGACACATTATTCTGACTCCGAGCCGACCAGTCCTTGTTGTACCCATTAATGCCGGGCGCCAGGCAGGGACCAACAAATACCATATTGTAACGTCTTTTGGTATGACGCGGCCGGGGATCGAACCCGCGACCTTCCGCTCTCCGGGCGGACGCTCTAACCACTACACCACGGAGGCGGTTTCGGGGGGATAAGGACATAATATCCTCTTTGAATTTTATTTGTGAAAAGGAAAACAAATGACTGGTGAATCGTTCGTTCCCTCCTTGTGTGAAGTGTAAAGACCACATCGTGCATAACAGGTCTTAAAGTTACCAAAACAGTTCCTCAAAACGCTGTTTTAACGTTACTACATGCTCGAATTTGTTATGGCATTTGACCAATGGATACATAGAGAATCTCATCCGAGTGTCTTTTGATATCAAATATATCACCACGAATTGACAAAGTTACAAGTGAGGTATTTTTACTTTTATCAACAAGTGTTGATATATTTGATATCAGAAGACACGAGGGTGAGATTTTATGTATCATAAAAAAATCACTGTTCATTAGTTTTCAATAAAAATTCTACATCTCTGAACAAGTGCGTTGCAGTCATGTCATAGCACTGTGACGTCATGGAGTTTATGACGCCATAGCATTGTGATGTCAGGTTTCTGACGTTGTAGTCATGTAATTGATGACGCCAGGGCATTGTACAAAATCTACTGTCAAAACGATCTCACACAAGCAATATCTCCTGTGGAACACAGTCTTGGATGATAAACTATAACATCCACTCGTTTCGTAAAAATGGTATCTAATGAGAATGAGAGTTGTCTATTTATCGTTACAGGAACCGTTGGTCCAAACGAATGTCGGGACGTGCTGATTGGCCGTGACTGTGCCCTGATGAACGAGACTCACAACCCCATCTGTCTGGACAAGGAAGATGGAGTCCACTACTGTAGGAAGTACTGCAACCTGTGTGCAGCTGGACAGACTGTTGGTTAAATAAACACATTAACACATCGCTGTACGGTTATACACAACAGTGAGCGAATCAACTCAACACATGCTTTTAATACTGACATTCAATAAAAAATGCAACTTTTGATATCTTTTGATATCTTTAATGAGGTAAGTAGGTAAATGGGGACATCTAACTGAGATTTACATTAGTCGTTGAACGTCAGATAACAATAGATTTTGTGGGATGATTAGCCAAAAAAAAACTACTGTCCATCAGGTCATATACCACGAAAATTCAAAATAAATACTATTGCCTGAATCTGCCTAATTTATTAAGAAAATCCCAGATTCGACGAGGCATACTCCTAATCAAATGACCAGGGTTAACTTGGCTTATTCTATCGCATTCTTCATGCAGGACAATGCCAAGTTCGTCGAGAGTAGGCGCTGGTTGTTGGTGACGCACGCTGTCCAAGGATATGCCAGTGGTGGCATGTCCACAACGACTGATGGCCAATTCTCTTCCTACAGAGGTTACTCAAGTCATATCTTCCCACGAAACCTCTGTTCTAAAAAGGCCATAGTTCCCGGTTCTCGTAAAATACCCTGGCTGCAAAAAAAAAATCGCAACACGAATGATCTCCCTTCTTTCTATCCAGTCAGAACACGTGTTACATCGACTTAGATCCAATATGGCGGCCGCCATGGAGTTTGTTGATCAATATGCGAAGGATAGATTCGGTATTTCATGTTTAACTGAAAATCAGAAACTAGCAATAAAAAGTGGGACCACAAGTATCCGTCCTCTCATGATGACGTGTGTTGATGTGACACACAAGACATTTAATGGCTAACTTGTCCGTTGTCAACGAGGGCGACGGAGACGCCATTGATCCACCATTACAGGATTGAGTTCTGTCTTGAAGAAACGTTTGCGCATCGCCCTGGGGAAGAGGTTCTAGTTTTCCCGAAGCATACAGAAATTACCGAGGTTTAGCGAATGATCACTTTTGAAACAACGTCGCTGATTGCACAACTAAATCTGATTGCAACCAATCACGAATCGTGAACACTCGCAGCATGAAATGGTCGTATTAGAACAGAGGTTACGTGGGGAGATATGACTTTAGTAACCTCTGTGGGAAGAGAATGCTGCTGGACATGCTAAGCTGTGTATAGTCCCCTGTTAGAGGCAGTCAGTAACAACGCGAACCCTTTGTGCGCTTGTGTTCTCATCCTGAAACACAACCAGTCAGAGACTTATCACCCAACACCTCTACTGAGCCACCCAAAATCGGTCGTTCTGCCTTACGTTAACGACATGAAAACGCTCATTCCGACGACGCCAGACTCTGTTGCGCCTGTCAAGGAGCTCCAAATTAAAGCCTGATTCATACGAAGACCTAACGTTTGCCACATCATGAATAGTATAATCATTTTTTCAATCAATGTACAATAATACGTGACCCTAGCTAGTAACCTCCCAAATTGAAATCTCCCCTTTTTGTTCCAATAGTATATCACTGGGGACTGAAGCTCAACGAAGTAGGTCTTAACGGACTGGCTATATGTTATTTTGAGCCAAACTAATATATCTTTTTTCATAAAAATTATCTTGGGACATATTTTTCGTGGCTGATATTTTTGTATGAAACCATCTTTCACGGGTGTGGTACCTGCTGAGAAAACCAAAATCTTTTTTTTTTTTTGGGATTCGAACCCTTGGTCAATGAACGCTTATGGCGACTGTTAGTTAACACCTTTATTATGAGTTATGTACGTGACATAAAAAGTGGGTTGGATAGACTCTATTTGGCAGACCCAGCAAATTCGATCCGGCTCCACAAACACCGTTTTGAAAGTTTATATTTTTCGTGGTTTAAGTTTAAATCCACGATTATTGGAATCTGATGCTTTTGGAAACACCGCCATATAGGTGGAATATTGCTGAGTGCGGCGTTAAACATCTAACAAACAAAACACGTTTGGAAGCATTTTTCATCTCTGTCGTACTTCATCAAAATATCAAAGTCTTGTTCGTTCAAATATTAATACTTGTATGGCGTGGAAGGAACAAGGCCCCGAATTAAGGCCCAAGGAGGTTAAACCCAGCATTCGAGTAACAAGATTTTAGTCGACTGGTGCAGCTGTGCCAAACCTGAGTGCCATGAAAGTGAACTTTATTGCCATTTTTTGTTTCAAGAACAGAAAGTTTTTATGATTCATTCATATGGTAATAAACGTGAAAAGCCTCAGAATTGCTTACACTGCTTTAGACTTAAAGTTTAAACTCCTTACAACTGCTTATAGGCATGTACAAAGTACAGTCCTGGTGTATTTATATCCATGTGTTATGGTCAGGATGTATTCATATCCCTGTGTTATGGTCAGGGTGTACTTATATCCCTGTGTTATGGTCAGGATGGATTTATATCCCTGTGTTATGGTCAGGATCCCTGTGTTTTGGTCAGGGTGTACTTATATCCCTGTGTAATGGTCAGGATGTATTGATATCCCTGTGTTATGGTCAGGATGTATTTATATCCCTGTGTTATGGTCAGGATGTATTTATATCCCTGTGTTATGGTCAGGGTGTACTTATATCCCTGTGTTATGGTCAGGATGTATTTATATCCCCGTGTTGTGGTCAGGGTGTACTTATATCCCTGTGTTATGGTCAGGATGTATTTATATCCCTGTGTTGTGGACAGGATGTACTTATATCCCTGTGTTATGGTCAGGATGTACTGATATCCCTGTGTTATGGTCAGGGTGTACTTAGTTCCCCGTGTTAGGGTCAGGGTGTACTTATATCCCTGTCTTATGGTCAGGGTGTACTTATATCCCTGTCTTATGGTCAGGGTGTACTTATATCCCTGTGTAATGGTCAGGGTGTACTTATATCCCTCTCCTGTACTTATATCCCTGTGTTATGGTCAGGGTGTACTTATATCCCTGTGTTATGGTCAGGGTGTATTTATATCCCTGTGTTATGGTCAGGGTGTACTTATATCCCTGTGTTATGGTCAGGGTGTATTTATATCCCTGTGTTATGGTCAGGGTGTACTTATATCCCTGTGGTCTTATATCCCTGTGTTATGGTCAGGGTGTATTTATATCCCTGTGTTATGGTCAGGGTGTACTTATATCCCTGTGTTATGGTCAGGGTGTATTTATATCCCTGTGTTATGGTCAGGGTGTACTTATATCCCTGTGTTATGGTCAGGGTGTACTTATATCCCTGTGTTATGGTCAGGGTGTATTTATATCCCTGTGTTATGGTCAGGGTGTATTTATATCCCTGTGTTATGGTCAGGATGTATTTATATCCCTGTGTTATGGTCAGGGTGTACTTATATCCCTGTGTTATGGTCAGGATGTACTTATATCCCTGTGTTATGGTCAGGGTGTACTTATATCCCTGTGTTATGGTCAGGGTGTACTTATATCCCTGTGTTATGGTCAGGGTGTACTTATATCCCTGTGTTATGGTCAGGGTGTACTTATATCCCTGTGTTATGGTCAGGGTGTACTTATATCCCTGTGTTATGGTCAGGGTGTACTTATATCCCTGTGTTGTGGTCAGGTGTACTTATATCCCTGTGTTATGGTCAGGGTGTACTTATATCCCTGTGTTATGGTCAGGGTGTACTTATATCCCTGTGTTATGGTCAGGGTGTACTTATATCCCTGTGTCATGGAGGGTACTTATATCCCTGTGTTATGGTCAGGGTGTACTTATATCCCTGTGTTATGGTCAGGGTGTACTTATATCCCTGTGTTATGGTCAGGGTGTACTTATATCCCTGTGTTATGGTCAGGGTGTACTTGTCTATATCCCCGTGTTAGGGTCAGGGTGTACTTATATCCCTGTTATGGTCAGGGTGTACTTATATCCCTGTGTTATGGTCAGGGTGTACTTATATCCCTGTGTTATGGTCAGGGTGTACTTATATCCCTGTGTTATGGTCAGGGTGTACTTATATCCCTGTGTTATGGTCAGGGTGTACTTATATCCCTGTGTTATGGTCAGGGTGATGTATGGTTATATCCCTGTGTTATGGTCAGGGTGTACTTATATCCCTGTGTTATGGTCAGGATGTATTTATATCCCTGTGTTATGGTCAGGGTGTACTTATATCCCTGTGTTATGGTCAGGATGTACTTATATCCCTGTTTATATCCCTGTGTTATATATCCCTGTCAGGGTGTACTTATATCCCTGTGTTATGGTCAGGGTGTATTTATATCCCTGTGTTATGGTCAGGATGTATTTATATCCCTGTGTTATGGTCAGGGTGTACTTATATCCCTGTGTTATGGTCAGGATGTATTTATATCCCTGTGTTGTGGTCAGGGTGTACTTATATCCCTGTGTTATGGTCAGGATGTACTTATATCCCTGTCTTATGGTCAAGGTGTACTTATATCCCTGTGTTATGGTCAGGATGTATTTATATCCCTGTGTTGTGGTCAGGGTGTACTTATATCCCTGTGTTATGGTCAGGGTGTATTTATATCCCTGTGTTATGGTCAGGGTGTACTTATATCCCTGTGTTGTGGTCAGGGTGTACTTATATCCCTGTGTTATGGTCAGGATGTACTTATATCCCTGTGTTATGGTCAAGGTGTACTTATATCCCTGTGTTATGGTCAGGATGTATTTATATCCCTGTGTTGTGGTCAGGGTGTACTTATATCCCTGTGTTATGGTCAGGGTGTACTTATATCCCTATCTTATGGTCAGGGTGTACTTATATCCCTGTCTTATGGTCAGGGTGTACTTATATCCCTGTCTTATGGTCAGGGTGTACTTATATCCCTGTGTTATGGTCAAGGTGTACTTATATCCCTGTGTTATGGTCAGGGTGTACTTATATCACTGTGTTATGGTCAGGGTGTACTTATATCCCCGTGTTATGGTCGTGGTGTACTTATATCCCTGTGTTATGGTCAGGGTGTACTTATATCCCTGTGTTATGGTCAAGGTGTACTTATATCCCTGTCTTATGGTCAGGGTGTACTTATATCCCTGTGATATTGTCAGGGTGTACTTATATCCCTGTGTTGTGGTCAGGGTGTACTTATATCCCTGTGTTATGGTCAGGGTGTACTTATATCCCTGTCTTATGGTCAGGGTGTA